AAAAAAAATCGGTTTTCATTCGGTTCTTCGGTTCTGGGTCTAGAACCGAGAACCGAATCAAACCATTCGGTTCTCGATTCGGATACCCGTTCGGGTATTTCATTTTAAAAAACCCGCTCGATTCGGTTCGGTTCGGATATTTTGCCCAGCCCTAGGATAATTGCCGAAAAGTAAAGAGAATATGATGGTATTTCTTCTTTTGATGATTGTATTGAGTAATTTGTGGGCTTAACCCTACCTTGAGTAGGGGACCAATTGCCTCCATTTATAGGCCTTCAACATCATATCAAGCTACAATAGGGATGACAACGGAGCTGGTAGGAGACAGGTTGGCCATTCCCACCCCCGTCTCGACGGGTTTTTTTTGTTACCTTACCCCATCCTTATACCCGGTTAAAGCGGGGTGGGCGGGGCAAGTCTTCTGCCCCATTTATCGCCATATTTATTTTTTCTTTTATTTTTTATTTATTTTATTTATAACTTTTTTATGTCTTTAGTCAGTAAATATTATTAATTTTTTACCTATTTATTAAAAACTTATGTTCTCTTAAAAAATAATGATAAATCTATTATTTTTGTTTGATAAAAAAATTAAATTTGAAATTAATTTTAAACGGGGTGGGTAACAGGAGTCCCCACCCCGTTTACCCGGTTGGCGGGTAATTCCAGTCCCATTCGGGACGGAACCCTACTGGTATCGAGTCAAATTATTATTTATTATTATTTCACTTAAGTCCCAGCTATCACCTATGCAATGATTATTTATTATCTAGGCAAATCGTTACTTTTTTTATTGGTGAAGGTGCTAACGTTAGATGTGATACTTGTCCAACCATCATTGGTTGCATAAGAGGTGGTAGTGTAAGGACCCGATTTCTCAAAAAANTCTTCATAAACTGAAATCAGCTGAAATTGTTTTGATCTCATGTGAAGTTACATCTCCTTGGACTCCCAATCTGTTTGAAAAACCTGAACACAGAACTCTATTGTCACTCAAACTCTCTCCACCAATTGAAAATGGTACATGTGAGAGTTCTTCTTTATCACTTTGAATGTGAGGATATCCCACCTCATCACTCCAAGATTTTATGCCTACCTTATCTCTTCTTTGATCCCTACAGTTTTCACTATTGTTGAGCTGTGGAGTTGTCAACAATTGGGATTATATATTGGGCTGTGTTCATGATTTTGTTGAGCTCAATCTTTTGATTGCTTTGGTTCATAATAGTTTTCTTGATTACGTTTTTCAATATTTTAAAGGTAAAAGTTCCCTAGTTATTGAGAATGGCTCCTTATTTTCTGATGATGTTTGTTGTTGAACTAGTCCTTGTGCTCAAATTTTGAAGAATTAAGCTAGTTTGCCCGAATTGATTTGCCCATCTGGTTGACCTAATCTCACATGAGTGTGGGATCGATGTGGGACCCGCATGAAATAAAAAATGAAAAAAAATGCTTCCCTCCCCCAGATGTGTGTGATCTGTCAGGGAGGGTGGCACTGCAGCTCGGTTGAATTTTGAAATGCTATTGGTTTCGTGAATGAGTGGACTAATTGATAAATTATTTTGTTATCGAGTTCTTGTGAGGTGTTATAGGTAATTGAGTGGGCTAGAATTAGCTTTATTAAGCCATTAGTTAGCTTGTTTGACAACATGATCTGTAGATTAGAGGATGGTATTAAGAAGACGAGAAAAGAAGGTAAAAATCTTGTCAATTATAAGAATTGTGATACTTACAAAGTTTAACTTTGTAATGCGTGGACGCTCAGAGTGCCAATGGGAAAGAGACAGGGTTTCCCTTGATAAATTAGCCAAATGGGTTCGCAAGGAAGCAATAACAATCTAGTCAAACTATTAATGTTGATGATTAAAATGCCATGACATAATTAAATCAACTTAAAGTAAATTTGATAGGATAATTTAGGGGTGGGCGCGGGTCGGTTCGGTTCGATTTTTTTTTTGTTCCAGAAATTTTCGGGTATTTAGTAAATAGAACCGTCGGTTCCAAAGTCGGTTCGGTTTGATTTTTTTTTGTTCCAGAAATTTTCGGGTATTTAGTAAATAGAACCGTCGGTTGCAAATATAATTTTGGAACCGTTTGGTTTCGGTTCGGTTCTGTTCGATTCTGTTCGGTTCCGTAC